GAGTTGTTGAATCATCTTTGTTTTCCAGAAAGCCCTAGCCAGTAGCTGAGCCCCCCACAGCCGCTCGCTTGCTCCCCGCCGGTGGGACAGGGGAGAGAATCGGGAGGGTAAAAGTGAGAAAACTCCTGGGTTGAGATAAAGACAGTTTAATAGGCAAAGCAAAAGCTGCGCATGCAAGCAAAACAAGGAATTCGTTCCCTGCTTCCCTCGGGCAAGCAGGTGCTCAGCCATCCCAGGAAAGCAGGGCTCCATCCCGCGTAACGGTGCCTTGGGCAGACAAACGCCATCGCTCCCAACGTCCCCCCCTTCCTCCTCCTTCCCCCAGCTCTGTGCTGAGCGTGACGCCGTGCGGTGTGGGACATCCCCGGGGGCAGCTGGGCTCAGCTGCCCTGGCCGTGGCCCCCCCAGCTCCTTGTGCCCCCCGGCCTGCTCGCTGCTGGGGTGGGGTGAGGAGCAGAAACGGCCTTGGCGCTGTGTCAGCACTGCTCAGCAACAACGACAACATCCCGGTGTTAGCAGCACTGTTTCCAGCACAAATCCAAAACATAGCCCCGTACTAGCTACTGTGAAGAGAATTAACTCCACCCCAGCCAAAACCAGCACACTGAAACATTTTTTATACCAAGTGTTTCTGTAGGAAGCATTATTTTAGTCAGATTTGCTTCAGTCATGCAAATAAAACGCTGAAGAACAACTCTGCCAGTGAAATTGTCTGGCACTGTAGTGTTTAGTAAGGGCCAAAAAAATGTGCTGTTGCCCAAAATGAACAAAGCAGTGAGATTCAGTGAATGCTATCTGAATGTTTGCAGCGTCACCTCTTAGAAGAGCTCTCAGAGAATTTAAATCTCTCATCCCTTGAGATGCATAATAAAATTCATCAGGTAACCAGTTTGTTGCCGTGCTTTCCAAAACTCTGTTCTACTGGCCTGCAGATTTGTGGACCCTGGTCGGTAAAACAGAGTGTTTCTGTCTTTTGGAAATGCTTAATAATCTCCCAGTAGCTGTGCTTGTTTTGATTCTGCCCTCCATCCCAGCATTTGTGCCTCCAGTTTTAGTTCCCATTACCTTAGTTTGCCTGGATCAGCTTTCACTAGTAAAAAAACAAACTGCTGACAGTTTGGTCTATTTGCCAGACACTAAGTTTCTTTTTTTCCCAAATATTTTTATTCAGCAGCATTATTTGTACACCTAGAAGTTTTCTTTGTGGCCTGCAACTTGCTGACGTTAAGGTAGTAGTGAGGTGGGTGTTGGTCTCTTCTCCCAAGTAGTTAGCAATAGGATGAGACAAAGTGGACTCAAGCTGCGCCAGGGGAGGTTTAGGTTGGATATTAGGAGAAATTTCTTCACAGAAAGGGTAGTCAAGCATTGGAACAGGCTGCCCAGAGAGGTGGGGGAGTCCCCATCCCTGGAAGTGTTCAAAAAACGGGAAGGCGAGGCACTTGGGGACATGGTTTAGTCTAGTCTACCCTTGACTGGTTTAGTGTGGGCTTGGTGGTGTGGGTTAATGGTTGGACCTGATGATCTTAAAGGTCTTTTCCAACCTAAACGATTCAATGATCCTGTGATTCTGTAAGTTCTTTCACTGAGCTCTATGTTCTGCTCTGGTCATTTTGCTGGTGATTTGTTTTTTTTCTTGAAGGCAACCAGAGTTGCCACTGAGGGAATCCGCACGTTTGCTCAGAGTTGATCGTGCTGTTGCCATGTGACAGCTGTCACCGGAGCTCCTGGTCGCAGTGGTGTGTTGTGTAGCTTTGGACGGGTCGCGACTTCTCCCTGCGTGTTAGCTGTTGGCTTGCGCTCCAGAACCTACATATTCACCTGGAGCAGGCTGAAGTTACTTCTGTTTGGCGTTCTAAACAGGATTCATTAGTAACTCGAAGCAGTGGTGGCTGAATGCAGCCAGCCAGCCTGCAGCCGTGCTGTTCTCAGAGATACCTGGACAGCGCTGACGCTCTTTAGGGTAAGCATCCTGAAAGGCAAGGAGAGCCCGCAGTTTCAGCATCCGATGCTTTTGGTGGATACAAAGGGGTGCTTCGCATTGTGGGGTTCTTCGTTCTGACGTTCTGACAGTGTGAGCTAAAAGTAAATGTGTCATTCATTTATTAACTTCCTTCTTGGCAGTGGTATGATAGCTTGTGTTTTATGCGGCCAAATGAACTTGGGCACTGAAAACTGTTGGGTTTTTTTTTTTTTCCCCCCTCTTGTTTTCCTCTTAACTCTACTTTGCCTACAGCTATTTCGTTTCAAGCTATTAGAGGTGTCTACTTCAAGGCAAACTGGTATATTACATATTCAGTAGTGTTCAAAGCGAAGACTCAGATACTGTATAAAGTGATGAATAACATTGTCAAGGAACAAAAGTCGGCTGCGGTGGTCTCTTAGGAAACTCTGAAGTTTGGAGGTGAGGTGTCTGCAATTACACGTGGATTGTGAAGTTAGTGAAATCAGAAATGGGCCTCTGGTAAACCAGCCACTCAAATGATTATGCTATAAAATGCTTGCAGTCCTTGAAGCAAACTACTTTAGTACTGCTTTATTGCTATTTTTGTAAATATTGTGATAGTTATCAGTTAAAGCTCAGGAAAGTGTCATGGCTCTCTAACTTGAGGCAAAGCTGGATTTCTGATTATTCAAGTGTGGTCAGTTATTGCCTTAACAAATTCACAGCAGGAGAAGGGTGAAAAGAAAAGAGCACCTGTTTCTAATTTGGTAATTTCAGGTTTTAATATATTACTTTTTATTCTGATCATGGTAAGCATCCTTGTATCAAATGGTGAAAGTGTCATACCAGGTGGAGCAGAAATTATGACAGAGGGAAACTGATTTCTCCAGTTGCCTTGAAATGGCAGCTGGGGGAATGACAGGCTTTGAAACGAGGAGCATATCTATAGTGCCTGACTTGAATTGAGCAGAATTCTCTCAGGTACAAGCTGATAATTTGAAAATTTCTTGGAGTGTGGTATGTTTTGCTTAACTGACTGCAGTCAGAATTACTCACTGAGCATGAAATGTGCATGGGCCTGTTCTGTCTTTGAGATTAATAATTTTTGTGATCTTCCCAACCCTTTTCATGCAAAACATTTATTTTGAAAAGTACAGAAATAATATGTATCAGCACTAACTCATTTCACTGTTTTCCTTGAGGTTGTAATCCAAACAGCACAGTTCAGGCATGAAAGTGACACTAAAACTCAACTTGGAATGTCAGTAGCTCCTGATTGTATTTTCAGGTTTATCCTTTTTTAAATGAAAGGGATAAATAGATGAAAAGATATCTGATAGTACCCATTTTTTAGAACGCGTTTCTTCTAAAAACTAAAGATGAAGACTTCAGAACTTTGTCCTAGTTAAGCTGACAGTCTTGGCGTGCATATCCCAGCTTGCATATGCATTTTTGGGGAACTGTATAGGCCTCCATGAAATACTACTAGACGCATGCTTTTGAAGATGTCAGCCTTAGTTACGCACACTTTACATAATACTGATGCAGCGCTGTGAGGTTTTAAAGCATTTGTGGGAGGTTAGATTGTTATTGATTTAACTACTTTCTTAAGATGGATGTATTTCTCGCATACTTCTTATGAGTCAAAAAAGGTAAGGTGATTGTTAGTTATTATTTTCCATGCTGTTGTACTCATTAACCAGCATTCCTGCAAAAAAAATGATACTGTATATGGGCAAGACTACCGAGTCGGATATCTTAAGTTCTTTGCCAGAATGTGCATGTATGTGGCATGCGCAGGAGTAGATGTGGCCCTCTGTTTAGTATAAAGGACTAGAGGTGCTTATGTGTTGTCCACGCTTACAGGACTTGCTCACATTAAAAATTTGCATGCAACTTTGAAACTTGAACACTGTTCTTTGTTTACCTTTGATTTCAGAGTGTCAATAGTATACCATGTCCTGTGACTGCAGTCAGAACTTTACCCACCTTAGAAGTTAAACAAGCAGAAAGGCCTTCAAGCAAAAGCAAAGATCCTCCTAGGGATGAAGAAAAAGAAAAGAAAAGAAAAAAACACAAGAAAAGATCTCGGACAAGATCTCGATCACCATTCAAGTATCATTCATCCTCTAAGTCCAGATCTAGATCACATTCAAAAGCAAAGCACTCACTTCCCACTGCCTATAGAACTGTCAGGCATTCAAGGTGGGTTTGGAAACCAAACATATTCTTTAGAGTTCTGTGTGGGCTAACACTTAAAACGTTTTTGCGTTTCTTCTATTATATAAGTGTCTTCATACCCATTACAAAGGGTATAGACACCTTGAAGACAGTAAATAAATATCATCACATGTGGAATGTCTTTGAAAGTAGCTTTAATGAAATAATGAATCATTAATTTCTAATTACATAGTAATTTTGCTTTACTAAAAGCAAAATTTGTGCCAGTAAATGCTTTCTCACTCTGGTTTGTGAAATACCTGGTGGTAATATGTAGGAATGCGATTATAGCAGGAAGAGAACTTGCTAATAAGGCTGTGGCTTTTGCTGGAGTAAAGTAACCAGACAATATTAAGATAAGAAATAGAGAGAGAGAACTGGGTGGTTGAACAGCAAAGCTCAGAAGGAAAACAAGCAGTTGGGTAGCATGTGAAAAAACATGATGGATGAATGGCAGGAGAGATATGACAGGAATCCAAGATGGGTGAAAATAGAGTTGTTGAGGAAGGGAGACCATAGAACAATGTAGCCCAGTGCAGTTAACTCTATATTTAATCATGAATGAGATTAAATTCACTGTATTAATTATCCAGCTATAAGATGATACATACTGTGTTATACTGTTAATTATATCTAAGACAGTTTGGTCTAGGCATCTTCCAAGTTTACTGTCTAAAATTTGTCATACCTGAATGCCCTGCCACATAGCAGTTATTGCAGTCAGTAGCAAGGGCTTATTCTTGAGGTTGCGTTCTCTGGATCGTGCTACAGAACAGTGTTTAAGGAACTTGTAGTTCAAATGAATGGTGCACATAATTACTGCCACAGTTATATATGTATGTGATGCATGCAAAATCATACATTCCTTTATCTTTGTGGCCATGCCTATGGCGTATGCTTCTTCCTGAAAAACAGCTTCTAGCCCTTTACAGCAGTGTGACAAAACTTCTTCTGTTTTCCTTGTGCGTTTTTTTGTTTGTTTAACAAAGTGTCTAACTACGCTAATGTGAGTAAGTGTTAACACATTACAACTCGTTATTTTATACTAGATTTTTAAGGTTAATTACAGTACTTTGCTGAAGACATCTCTACTATTCAGACAAGCAAGGAATTAAATGAACATAACTTGGGCTGAAACGAGCAGTCTGACATGCTGCTTATTTGACTGCCTTTGACAATAGGTGGTCATGATGCCCTACGTTATAAGGCATATTCCGAAAAATGTGCCGTTCCTTTTCTGTGCTTACAAGCATGTAAAGGGAATGATGCTGAATGCAGCTTTCCTTGTTTAAGAAGTGAATGCAAGTCCTCTCAGAGTTAAGGATGTCTTGGGGAAAAGTCTCCTCAGGTGAATCACTCATCTTTTCAACTCCCTGTCAAGCCATATCTTCACTTGAACCTCCCATGCCACTTCATCCAAGCTGCGTTGCACATATTTATCCATGATTTTACTGATATATGGTAAAACCAAGGAGAAACTTATAATAATGCTAAAAAAAAATTAAATCATCTTCTATGGTACCTTGCAAAGGACAAAGAATCATCTGAGAAGATCCTTACCAGTACTTGGGTATGCTACTCAATAGGATAAAGATAATCCTGCATGTTGCATGAGCTTGCATCGGCCAGTAACCAGATTAATGAGAGCTTGCAAGTTCAGTTTGATATATACTGAGATATGTCTTCAGTAACTTCAGGGAGATAAGTTATCTGGTCCTTTATAGAGGCTTGAATACTTCCAGCAGTTGGTCTACATTTGGTTCTGCTGGTGAAAAGACAGTCTACTGAAGTCTGCCACATATATAGTGGATAGTGTCATTGTGTTTTGGGGGGTTTTGTGGGGTTTTTTTGTGGCCATAGTTCAGCTGGTGGAGAAATTACACAAAAATCACCAAGAACAGTTAATCTACTGGAGCTAATCTTTGTGTGCCCTCTTGAGTGTGCCTCCTGGCACAAATCAAATAACAGACACATAAAAGTCTTAACGTCATGAATCAACACACCACCTGGTTAAATCTGATTGGATATTTGCTAGATTGGCAGTTGAATTCTACAACCTGAGAAGTCAAATAAGCTTGATGCCGGCTAGCTGAATTTTAAAATTGTTTCAGAACAACTGCACCACATCTTGAACTGAAAACATTTGGCACATTATAAAACTTGACAGAATTGAGAGCTGAATGGGAAAGGGCTTTCCACTCAGCCTGTCTTTCTGTTCTGTGAGTAGCAGTTTAAACAAAAGTCTCTGGAGGGTCTCCCTCCCATTCAGAAACCCACTGCTTCTGGGAACTTGAGGCAGTATCATCAGTGCTGAGTGGGTGCCTGTTCCCTCTGAGCTTTTTCCAGGCTGTATGAGATACTTTTAGTGGCAATCATATCAGGCGGAAGACCTGTTAGAAATCTGAATGTACCTTCCTATCTATAGCATTTTGCAAGAACATGGCTAAATCTAAACTTCTGCTCAAGGACCTCTTGTAATTCAGCTGTAATGAATACCTTTCTCTTGCATCTGACACTTAATATAATGACCATATTGGTTTACTTTAATGTAGTCAGTAAAGACAAGCGAGTCTTATGCAGGATGCGTCAAGTGTCTCTTCATCTGGAAGGTGACGATGTTCTGTTTGGCCTCAGCTAGAGTACTGTGTCCAGTTTTGTGCATCCTTCAGAAGTAATTAGACCAGCTAGAGGAAGTTTAGAGGGAATCACCAAAAATTTTCAGAAATTTTTTTTTAAAAAATGGAGTGAGTTGGAATGACTGTTTGGGAAGACTGAGGGAAGATAAAATAGGTCTTCATGTATGCCAGAAGAGAGGGAATAGAACATTCTTCTTTAGTCCTTGGGGTTTGGGCAATAAGTAATGGATTTAAATTGATAACAGAGAGACGAGAAAGCTTTTCATAGTGTCTCAGCGGTAAAGGTAGCTAATACAGCTTGTGAACACTCCACTGTGGGAAATTTCTGTATCAAGAATTATAGTTGGGGGAATATTGAATAGTCTTATTTCTTGAAGTCTTTTCTAGCCCTGCCTTTCTAATTAGGGTCCAAGTGGTCTCACATTGTACAAGAAATGGTGATGATTGAAGGTTTGCTTTATTGAAGGTGTTTGCTACGCTTTAACATACTCACTGTATTTCCAAAATTAAAGCTCTTGCTCCTGAACTAGAAAATTTGTGGAGTAATCAAGAGTGGGAGGCTGATTCATAACGCAGTCAGATACTGATGTGTTTTGTCTCTCAAATGTTTAGGCAAAAATAATGCCTTGTCTTAGTAATCACCAAAAAAAAGGCAAGTGTTGTTGCCTAGCTAAAAGATAAGACTTCTTTTTTTTTTTTTCTTTCCTCCTTTTATTTATTTATATATTCAGTGTTGATTCAGAGAAAATTATTTCCATGCATTGTCTTGTCTCATTCAAAACATGGTACCTTTCACATCTCTCTGCTCTTCAGTTTTCCCAGTGCTTCACCTAGAACAATATTTTTTTCCTAGATTCCCAAAACACTGCATGTTACAGCTTACTGCTGAATGAATAGTTATGTAAAGAGTCGTAGCCTCCTCGGATAACATGTAAACTGTTTGTAGAGGTTAATGTGTTCATCCTGTATTAAGTGGATGACGCTTAGAGATAGTCTTTATTGTGTGGACATTGATGCTAAATTATACTGGAACGTCCCTATTTTGACTAACTGTGCTTTACTTGAATGTCTCAGTCTAATGTTGTATGCTTGAGATTTTGTTGCCTTACTTTATTCTGTTCAAAATGTATATTCTAACCTACAAATCTCAATATAAAATTATTATTGATGCTTTATTTTACATCGAGTGGACTGAAAAAAGCTGGAATTTTCCCTTTCTGTAGTAATTACTGCTTCCGTTCCTGTTAGTCAAATTATTTAGAATAACAAACAAGATCTTTTTCTTAATAAACTTTCATAACTTTTTTAGAGAGTAGCTTATTAGGTTTGAAGCATCTGCACAGTGAAAATAACTATTCTGGATTTGAAGTTATTTAAACTATTATATTTAAATTAACTGTGGCAGCCAAAAGAGGAGCTATGCTTATTGCATAATTTTTTGTTAGACCTATTGCATTCAGATGATAATGAATTGTAATCTCTAAATTGTAAAAATGACCACTCAACACATGCCCTGTATTTGGGGAACAGTCTTAAAGCCTTAGGTTTTGTGAGGTTTCCCTTTAGACCTTAGTTGAGCTTCTGTTTAAGAACACTTTGAGTAGTTACTATTTAATGGTATAAGTTGTTTCAAAAAGTAAGATTGAACTTTTATGTATATATATTTATCATATAACTTACTGTGACAAGTTAATAGGGAATGAGATGTGGGAAGTGAAGTTAAGCATAGAAATTTGCAGTAATTTTCTTTGCTCTTTATTCAAGTGAAGTTCAGTATATTTTTCAAGCTCTTCCTTTTTGGTTTGTGTATCTTCCTCCCCGCCCCCGAACGCATATTGTGCTTAGAAATCCTACAGATGAACTTTGCAATATACTTCTCTGTACACCATTTTATATCACTTGTTTATTATTTATTTTTGCATTGGTAGAGGTTTACAGGCTTTGCTTCATTTAAAAATAGTCTTTGGGGGTAAGATACAATTTTTGTACTGTTGCATTTTTTTCTATTTTCTAATGCATATTCAACAGTATTAAAGTTGAAAAATTCTGTTCAAATAACATGAAGTTGATTCAGAGCATGTTTTGGATATTCATTTTTCTGGGTAGTACAACCAAACCTGTTTCACAGGAAGAAGTTTAAAAAATTGTAGCTACGTAAGGAACCCAGATACATTGGCTTAATTGTGCCATGTGGTGCACTAACAGCAGTTCTCTGTATACATGCATGTTATTTTCTGGAACAAGATTTCTGTACCAAAATCAGTCCCATAAAGCTCCTGGTATCACACAGTTTTAATTCTAGACCAACATGACAGATTAAAGTTAAACAAAAGTCATTGAAACAGTAAACCATGTCCAAAAGTGCTGTAAGGTGTTGCAGCGTGGATTGCTCTGGAGCTGTTAGTCCCAAAGAGATAATTAGTTATTACAAATAGGTACTTCACGTCAAAGATGGGGCACCTTTGTTAAATCTGTCTTGGAAAGCAAACAGCCTTTGGTACCTTTCGGTCATCTGTAGTAAATGCTTCATCAGTGTCTTTTTTTCTAATCGACTTCAAAGCACCATTAAAAAAAGTTTGATGTGGAACGCACCTGCCAGTGCTCTTTCAAGAGGCGTAGGTCGTCAGTCACTGGCGCTTCCAGTGTGCCGTTCTCGCTGAGAAGTTAGGTTGCGCAGCTGGTTGGCAGTAAGTGTAAATAATGACGATGTTCATCTGAATCTCTGTTCTCTACCAGCAGATGTTTGTGGTCCATGGTCCAAGCTAATGATGTATTTGTGTGCATGAGTGTGGTTTGTGCTTGTACGTGAGAGGAGAGGAAGGGAAACTGGCTACGTGCTGAATGATGTCAATCGGTTAGATGAAATCTGGATGTTCATTTTGAACTAGAGTAGCGATGAAAGGTCTAAACTTCTCTTTGATATTGATCGTCTGTCTTTATGCTGTCCAGTAATAGAGTGGGACTAATACTAAACACATCATTTATCCGGTTAATGAGTTATAAACAGTAGTGGTATACTTTATTAACAGGTTACTTTTCAATAAGTTTGGAAAGACTACACCTGTGTGTGTGTTTGTGTGACACTCTTTGCCTCAATGCTAGGAATTTAAGAGACTTGGAAGTTGCTGTTCTTTGCAAAAAAAGGTTGTTTGGGGTTTTTTTTTCTCCTTATGAACTGATTTTCTTATTGCTGAGGCAGTGCCTATTCACGTAGTTTTAATTCCTGTTTTGTAATGACACGTGCCAAGCTTCGTAACCCTTGGAAACTTTTGGGACCCTACTAAACACAAGTGATACTGACTTTAAAGGAATAGAGTGCCTTTTGAAATAACAGTCTAATGAAAGTAATGATTGATGTGTTGCAGTAAAACTGTTAAGCTGGTTTTAATTGTTTGAAGCTAATGGCCAAAGTTCTTAACATTTGGTGATTGGAAGAATGTTGTAGAACCACAAACATCAGTTCATAAAAATGAAGCTAATGCCTTTTTCTTTCTGATTGTTTGGACTTTTTTTAGGCTGGTCCATATAGGCATGTTTCACTAAGGTTCAGCTTTTGGTTAAGGGACTGAGCCTTTTCAGGATTCTAGTTAATACCAAAACTAGCACATTTTATTCTGAATGTGAAGTGTGTGCCTCCGTATCACAGACTCACAGCATCCACAGGGACACTGAGCATGGAGCCGAGTCTGAGCAGCTCATCAATGGCAGCAGCAACAGAGCGGGAAAATTATCAGGCAACTTCGACAACGAAAAGATTTGACTGCTGGAGCTCTTTTGAGGGAAATCCTGGTAAAATGTCAAGGTGTCTGACTGACCCCAAACTTTATAATCTGTTGGGTTTTTTTCCTTTTTTAATCCTTCTGAATGGCCTGGTAAAGATCAGATTTCTAAGTGACAAAGCAGTTAATTTGAACACTTAACTGCCATTGTGATTACTTTTTTTCATTTTCAGTTGATCTCTTTTGTTGTAGGTGTAAAAGAAATGGCTCAGGAGTGTGTGTGTATATATATTATATATATGGTGTGAGTCTGCAGAAGATCAGCGATTTCACAAATGGCTTGTCTTTTAGTCACTGCAAATTAGGTATTTTCAAGAACATGAATGTTTGGTACACATGGAATGACATACTTACAGTAAATAAGGCTTTAAAATAAGCAAATAGAAGTAAAATTATTAGAACGATATATTTTAGTGAGAACAAAACTAACTTACTATCAGGAATTTGGGGCGGATTTGGGGTTTGTTTTTTTCTTTCTTTTTTCCAAGCTGGGTCCCTGAGTTTCCCCCTTCTCTACCTTCCCCCCTCCCCTCCATCTCTCAGAACTTTTCTCATTCCACTTATTTTGTTATTAAGAAATAGTCAGGTTTTACTTACACATCCACTTAATTCCAAATCATAGAGAACAAGAGTTAAGCTCTGAAGTTGATCTCTGATCTTAACTGGGCATGCTTTCTTTTTTCCCTCTTGGTCTCTTTCTCTTTCTCTCTCTCACTTTTCTAGGAAAAATATCTCAAGTTGAAGTGCTAGTGCCAAACAACGCCTATCATGGGTTGTTGGTCACTTGCACGGGTGAAAATAGGCTGTACTAGGATTATCCTGCAGCATCAGGGACAAAATTTCCTGGACTTGTCAGTGTTGGAGATGCGCTGAAAATAAAAACTTGTATTTATCTCTGTGATGCAGCAGTTCTAAAAACATACCACTAATTTGAGAAGAAAAGGTCAGGCCTGACAGTCCCAGGCTTCGAGCCAAAGTGGACTTCTGCATACCAATGTTAGTAAACTGTTGCCACAAAAGGTGACTGGACTAAAGTAAAACTTTCCCACCTACTAATACAGAAGTTAACATTAGCACACAATACCAAAAAATAATTGGGTAAGAAATTTTTATGCAGCTGACAAGTCTTGGAGACTAAATACCCCATGTTGGTATAAAATAGGCATTTGAAAGGTGTTATATTTGCGTTTGGTGACAGCGCAATTCCACTGAAATAAAAGTAATAAAATAAGTAACAAAAAACAAACTTTTGGATGTTTTTTTCCTGCTCAGGTCACGGTCAAGGTCACCTAGGAGAAGGGCACACACACCAGAAAGGCGGAGAGATGAAAGAAGTGTTCCAACAGCTTATCGCATTAGTAATAGTCCTGGCAATAGTAGGAAACGCCCACGTTCCAAGTAAGTATACTTGCTCCTGGAGAAGGTTATGTCCTGGCATCGTAAGAGACTTTAAACATCGCCTGATGTGTTGTATGCTTTGTATGCTCCCTAGGTAGAACTTACTTTTTTTTTTTTTTTTAAATGTTCTAGAGCTTTATTTTAATAGACAAATACTTCAATGAATCAAGAGGTGGCTTTTTTGAGAGCACCTTGCATATGGTCTCTCTGAACCTATTATAATCAAAATGGCATACCAGGCGTTATTTCAGCTCACCAATTGCAGAAGAAAAACGTCTGCAAAATGTGTGTCCAGAAGGCTTTGAAATGGTTTGTGTCTCTAATGTTTTGTGGCATGTTGTGTCTTCAACATGCAAGGAAGTGAAAATTTTTCATGCTTGTATATGTACACCTAAAGTGTGCACAAAACCCAATACGTTGAAGTTACTAAACTGAGCATACAGAATTTTTGTCCTCATTGGTGAAGATTTAGTCTTAACCTGTTTCCCCACATCTCTCGTGGAATAAAAAGCAAAGAGGTCACTTGCAACTTTATGATTATTAAAAAATTTCTATTGTTTCTTAATATAACTTTCCATCTCTTGACAGCCTCTAATTAATTGATGTGTGGTATGTATAACCGAGAACTTCATCAGTATACTTCAGCTGATGCAGTTTTTCACGTTCATCAACTTGAGAAAATAGAGGCTTCTGTGGAATTCCGCACACAAATTTGGTTAAGCAGAAAAGATATGGAAGCTTAAAACGTTTTTCTTCCTATAAACACACACAAGAATTTTTTCACAGCCCTGTGCTATTTTTAAAGCAGCGTTGGTGTGTCTGCTGCTTGACCATTCAGCATTTTAAGCTATAAATTGTTTTTAGAGTTATGCTGCTCCAAGTGGTAAATTATGATGACAGTTGTGAAACAAACTAGATTGTTTATATAGGTGGAAATTGTAAACTTTTGTTATGCCTCAAACAGGAAAACAGAACACTACACAATAAAATCTGGCAGTAAGTGCAAAACATGTAGACTGAAGAAAGAATATTATAGTTAAACACAGACGAGGCTATTTTGCAGCTTGATTGCAGAAAGCCTACTGTTTCAGCCCTGTTAGGACTGACATGTTAAATGTTTAAGTAAAAATGTGGATGCTGTGATGGACCAATTTTCATCTTCAGTTATGGAGTAGATTCTTTGCAGTGGTGTAATGGAAGCAAGGTTTGGGTTCAAGGTCTGTTAAAAGCTAATTAATTTACTTGCGCTTTCTATGAGTGAGTAATGTATATTTTGCCTGATAGCTGAGAGCAGGTTTCAATCTTACATGGCAGCAGTCAGCTGGGTGGCTTTATTAACCATAGCTGTACTAAGTAGTAGGCAAGCTTTAGAATCCAGTACTGTCAGAGGACTGAAAATTAGAATTAATAAATACTGCAATGTTTTAAACTTGCTCAGGGCACTAATCTGATATCAGTTATGATGCTGAAAAGCTAGCATTGCTTGTAAATTTTTAGGTATATTTCCAGAAGAAAACATAGAAGAACTAGGAAGCTGTGCTTTGTCTTGTTTGGGAATTACTGGCCCACTGCTTGTAGGATGAGGTGCACTTCAGAATAAATATAACAGTTGGTTTTTCTTCTGCTTATCCTGTACCTCAGTTGCCATCATACTCACTTTAAAAAGTCGTCTAACGTAAATTAGTGTTTTAATCTGACTGCAGTGAATTTCTTTCCACAGAGAATATGCATAGTTCTTTTAGGCTAGCTTTTGTAGCTAGAAAAATAGTGAAAACTAAGCCTAGTTTTAGCAAATGGACTGTTCTAAAAATGGAAAACTGATAGACACATTCATTCAGCTGTTATGTTTGTTCATCATAATCTGAGATGAAAAATGCCGAAAAATCTTACTGTAAAATACTCTTCTTGCATGATGAATGTTCGCTGAGATTTTCAAGAGTTAAGTATGAAATATGTTTACAGCTTGATTACGGTATGATGTTTTAAGAAACTGAGCAATTACAGTACATAATTAGCTAGTCAAGGAATAAATGACTTTGTAGCTGATGTTTTTTGTATAGTCATAAAAATGTTAGAGGCCAGTAGAGCTGTGGGCTTTTTCTTCTGCCACTTAATGATTATTTATGCAAGAAAAGCGTACGGAGGTTTTGCAGTTTTAAGTCTGGAGTGTTAATTTCTGTATAAAAATCAGGTATTTGTATGATAAATTGTAAGCATCAGAGGTGTACAGTATTTATATGGGAATTTAATATGTGGTAGTACAGCTGCTTTTAAAGTAGCAAATTCCTAAGAAAATCAAAATAAAGGAACCAATAATGTGATACTTAAAAGATGGCTCAGAGTTTTACAGTGTTTTAAGATGTTCTAGAAGCTTCAACAACATTCTTCTGAATAGACTTCTAGCAGTGCACGCTAGAGAGAGATGAGGTATTGCCTAATTCTAATGGAGGCATTACTCTAGTAATTCTAATTACAGTAATATCAATACTGGTATGTGAATCATACAGACATAAATTCATAACCATGTATAAAGATTTTGATAGTTCCGTCTCTGGTATTTTACTAATCGAATTCTCTTTGAGCTTAATATTGCATATGAGGAGGCTCCCTCTGTTTTCCCCTTCTGTCAATAATGAATACATCAGATACCTGTAAGTCTGTGGTCCAGCTCTCACAGCGACAAACATTTGTGTAGCGAATTTCCAAGTCATAAACAGTTTGCACTTAAAGCATGTTGCTAAGTCTAGGTTTGATTGAGTGGCATACAGGAGCTTGTTTATAATTTTGAGCCTGAGGTTTGTTGCATTATAGATTGGATCACGAGGAAGGGAGTAATTTCTTTTAAAAGGCAAGCAAACAAACCATGGATTTGCCTTGTAGATCTTTTGCATAGCTATGATTCTATGGTTTGTTCGTTTACGAGATATGAAAATTGTAAGAGATATAAACTCTTACATTTCTCATTATATTCTAAGTGTCTGATGTTGTTTGGGAAGGAACTTCCCTCTAGCAAAGTCATTCTGCAAGTCTCCAATGAAAGGCTTTTCATTGTCATCCTTCAAACTATCAAATACTGGCCAGTAATTCCTGTGTACCCATGAGGCAGCATTCCAAGTGAGAACCTCAGGTACTAGTAGTTGCCTAACGCAATATGTTAAAAAGAGCTTCTGAGAAAGTATTTTGCACAACCACAGAAGTGCAGTATTGGGGTAAGACTAAAGCTTGCTGAATGCATGAGAAGTATCCTGTGGAACAGGGCTACATAAGCTTTTAGAAGTGTGGAAAAGTAACTTCAGCTGAGCTAGTGTAATACTGCTTTAAATATCCTTCAATAAAATATTTTCTTCTTGCAGAAGTCCCCACGAAAAGAAGAAGAAGAGGCGGTCTAGATCACGTACCAAGTCCAAAGCTAGGTCTCCTTCACCATCCATGTCACCAGGCAAACCATCCACACACAAAAATTCTGTACATTCAACTAGTGTCTCTCCTGTGGAGAGCAGGGAATCCAGCCAGGAACGCTCCAGGTAATATGCTCTTTTATGGTAATACCGCAGTGCTGATGTCTCTCGACTGCGAGTGCATCTTTTGACCTAAATTGTGTGGTGAGGAGCTCTGTGTGTGTGTGATGTGTGCCTATTAAAGGCAGAAGACACCAGGAGGACAGCGCTACGTGCATCAGTCTAATGAAGACATTGGATCTCTGTTGCCTACTGGAGTAAACATCTTGACATGCTGTGACAGTAAAACTGGTGCAGAAAATCCTGCAACCTAATTCTAAGTTAGAAATTGGAAACTCTTGCTGTATGGGGTAACTCTTTGAAGTAGGGCTTTAGTGGAGTGGTTTGAATTGTAATGTGTGTGCAAGATTCATCATTAAATTATTTCTACAGAATATAGAACAGTCCTGTGAAAAATTCCTAGGCTGTTGTTCAGATTTCTCTGTATCAGATGGACGAGTGACTCTTCTGACTGACTTATCATGGCTTCTGGTTGAATGAGAGAACTGTTGACTAACATATGAGAGACTTGTACAATAAAACCCAAAATCGTGATGGTGAGTAAAATGCGTTTTTAAAACATCTACTATAAATTTCTAATTCTAATCTTACTTTTTTAGGGGAGTTTCTCAGGAAAAAGATGGCCAAATCTCTTCAGCAATTGTGTCTTCAGTGCAGAGTAAAATCACTCAGGTACAAATAAACAAATTCAGAGTATATTGCCTAATTAAGTGTGTCCATCATATCGTTTCCTTCTCTTACTAGCTTGTACAATTCTGAGCTTTGCATATGATGTAGAGACATGATCTGTTTGCTTATGAGAGAAACATTTTTATTGCTTCTCTGGCTACTGTCCTTCCAAGTTTAATCAAGCCTCTAAAGACCAAGCTAAATTCATTATGCTGCGGTATATCCACTGTTAAGATATGAAAGTCCCCATTATGCTACAATACCCCAGTTACCAACAGCAGATATTACTGAGAGCCCATCTTACCATGTAGTGCTCTTAAGTTTCCTGGAAAAAAACAAGGAAGGAGAAACACCTTGGCAAAGACTAAATTCGTAGTGTTGGCAGTAGAGGAAAAATATGTCCCCTTGAAAACTGAAGTAAGCGTGTGCTTTGTGTTAAGCAGTATCTTCAACACACCTGTCTTACCCTTGTTGCTGTTTATGTCTCTGAACTATTGTTATGATTTCGTTGACACAATCAAGTTTGCTGTGAATCATGGCATATCGGGTGTGTGCCTCTATATACTGTGCAATAATCTAAATGCATTCAGCTTCCCCAGTGCAGTTTTAAGATACCCAACCTCTGTCAAAATAATTCCGTTCCTTTTTAAAAGCTACTGCGTGGCATCACTCTTCAAAATTTTTAATTTCACTCATCCTCTTAGAGTCTTCATGCATATTTAACTTTCTTTCAATTGAATATGCCAAGTTTAGAGGAGGAAAGCTCTTAACTATGCTTTGGAAAATTTGCAATTAAAATCAGAGTCGCTTTTTATATTCTCTTTTTTTTCAATGGATAGATTATTCTTTCAGTAAATCAATAATGTTCAAAGATTTAGTTCCGCTAGGTAGTTGGGAATTAATACTAATAGACTAGTACCTTACATACCATCTTTGATCTGGTTTTGATGAGAAACCCAAACCAAGAATATTCAGAAAAATAGAAGATAGCAAGTATAGGCACCGGGGAAAGAAAATGGAGTACTAACACCGTAGCACTTCTTAGGCTACCAAACAAATGCATGGAAATTCCTGGTATGAGAAATGAGATACGAACTACGTCATGGGCTTCAAAGTAGAGCAAATATCCCACCCTTTAAAAACATATTCCCTTCAGGCAAAGGTAATTGGTTCATGCATTTCTTGGGTTAAATACCGCTTATGGCATAGCATTTGCTAGTTTAATACTAGTCTGCTTGCTTGAAGTGGAGCTGTAAGAGGAGGAAGGATTACTATATTAAAATACAGTTCTAAGTTACTATTTGCAGAAAGTAAAAAAGGAATGAAATTTTTGTGAATCTGCAAGATATTTCCCAACATAGATTAGTTGAGCTTCTTTTTATCTTTAAGGGCCCAAAGAAATGTAATTTACCTAATTACTAGTAAGATTATTTTGCTGCCAGTGTGCTGGCTGACCCTGACCAATTCCATATCTTTTCTCATTCAAATCCTTCCATCTGTAAAGTGGAATAATGGTGCTGAATTCCCCTATGAAGCGTTTTGAGAGCTTCAGATGAAAAATGCTTTAAAAGAACGAAGGATTTTAACTCATTTATATTGCATTTGTGAAGAAATGTTTTAAGTAACTTTAATTCATTACTGATACACACTTTTTATTTTGTGATCCTTTTTTGCAACCCAATTATTTGATGCCGTTTACACGAAATTTCATTTCCTTTTGTAATGCTGTTCCTACTGGATACTCAGACAAGACTGAGAGTTGCTATTCGGTTTCACAACGCTCTTAACATTTCAGTCACTCTGTCATATGTGAAAATACTACTGCTATGTACATTTTTGGTTCGGGTTTACAAAGCAAACAAAAAAGCTTTCTGGTATAGAGTAATTGTTAACGCTCTCTTCTTACCAGGTCTCTCTCTTTTTTTTCCATTTTTTCTTCCCCCCCCCCTTTTAAACCCTCAGTGGTTAGTAGTTGTGTGTTCATTACAGTTTGTGTGAAGATACGGTCATAGTTTCCTTCCATTTCAATTGACATGATTTCTGTGCTTTGTTGTATAGAAACCACTCTAAATACTTACGCAGAGCACTTTGTAGCATTGTAGTAAAAACAGGCTTCAGTTGCTGTCACCGGAACTTTCTCCAAATTACTTCACTCACTTAGCCTAGGGACTGTTAATATCTGATGATCATGAAGCTGAGTATTCTGTGTGACTGGAGCATAAGCTAACCCTTCCATGCAGGTTTTTGCAATCGCATGCCTTAGCTCTGTTCACAGCCCAGACATGTCTGATCATTTTCCTTTTTATTTTCTACAGGATCTTATGGCCAAAGTGAGAGCAATGCTTGCAGCTTCCAAAAACATACAAACTAGTGCCTCCTGAGACCTGTTGAACTGACCATCAAGAAATTGTGTGAAAAAGAACAGTATAAAAAAACTGCCTCATCTCAAATGTACAGCTGAGCTTAGCTCACTTGGTTCACAACTCGTCTAATATTACCAGAACTCGAGGAGCTAAAACCTATCTTTCTGTACAGAAGCGTCTCCTTGAAATTTCATTAAACTTTTTCAGCCAGAATATCTTTGGAAAGTTTTTGGTTTTTGTAAATTGATTTTTTGACTAATTCTTCAGTAACATTTTATGATCAGCGGTCTATATGTGTATATTTGTAAATACCATGTTTCTGTGAAAGCAGTATTACACAATAATAAAGAAGGAAACATCTTTCATTAGCTAGAGTTTTTATGGAGTCCTTAATTGTTTGCGGCTGACTTTTGTTACAATTAATCTTTTTCTTTAGTACTTTCTGCTTTTTAAAATAACAGCTGTCTAGCCTGCCTGACCACCTTAAGCTGAGAAATACTTTTCATCTTCCTTCATGCACAGAACGATCTAAGAAGAATGCTTGTTTGCTTGGATGTTAGTAGTGGACAGGTTTTGGACAAGGGATATGATTTTCTGTCCATCATTTAGAAAGATCTCTGAGCCTCCATTTGAGGAGTTGACCCTTGGAAGTCTGTAACTAATGGTCAGTAGCCCCTTTGTCTTAATGTGCCTTGTTCTCTCTCATTAGCTACAGAAGAGAGATTGTATTTTTGTGGTCATGCCACAGGCCTAGTGTTGAGAACTCCTGCATTCTTCTGATTTCACATCTTTCATGCGGTTGAGAAGGATGCTTACTGACTTACGTTTTACTGACACATACCAGTTAACGCTTTTCAGAAAGCTTGTGGCCTCAGTATAATTGCACGTTTGTTTATTACGCATTCTTTGTTGTATGCTGAGACTATTTAATTTTTGAATTGAAATATTCTTAAAATGAGTACAAAAAGGCATGTATGAATTTTTCCACAAGGCTGCTTTAACTATGAGGTTTTGTAATAGTTGGTGTATTCAAAAGGTGCCCTTATTGGCAGTTTCTGATTCCATGAGGAGTGGAATCAGGGCTTTTAATGACCCCTGAAAAACTCTGTGATCTATAATCAGAAAGATTGTGGTTATAGTGACTCATGTCCTAATTTTCTCAAATTTCATAGAGAGTAGGTGGAGGTTGGAGATGGATTAGAGAAACTAATGTGGCAAAGCTTACACTTACTCACAGACCAGTTGGTAAGTTAACTACATAGAACTACACAGATTAATAACTCCAATGCAAAATCTTTTTGTTCAAAACAAGGGGAGGAGAAACAACGCATTGATTTAATTCAAGCTTTGAGTAACGTGATGGTCAAAATGGTAGTTGGTATGCCACTTGCTGGTGCTCACTGGGAATGAGAACAGTATTTAAACCACTGGAAACAATAATCAATCAGGTTTCTTTTCAGTCTTGGTCCAGTACTAATTAGCAGGGTTTACGCTTCTACAAACAATGCACAACAAAAATGCTGTGTCTGATGCAGAGAAATTTCACTGTGCACATAAATTGTGATGAAACAGAGCCATCTAAATGGTAATGTAGAATCATGTTATCCACCATTTACCTAACTACTTCAAAGTTATTTGTAGTGTTTTGATGAGGACAAAAATAACTTTCAACCAGTGCGAGAGAGAACATTTCCCTGTACGTGTTGATGAAACAGTACTAGTAGAGACAGAGATAAAAAAGGACATAAAGTGAGTTTGGTCGGCAGCCGTTGTAGATTGTTGTGCAGTGCTAAATTTACAGCAGCTTTATTTTTCCCACTTAAATGGAGTTAAAAGTCTCACCATGGTTAAATAATTGGCAGCTTGGATGCCAGTCGTTTGTCACGTAATAGGAAAAAAGCCCAACTCTGACAAAATAGACTGGGCAGCTTGTTTTGCTGCTGCTTTGCAGATTTATTTTCTTTGGGAAGGTTGTTGTTTTAATGACTTCTTAAAATATTTTCCCTCCCTGTGAGCAAGTATTTTTCTTTATTTTTTTTCTTTTTTTTTTTTTTTTTCTTATTCCCTTTTGTGGTATGAAGTGAGATGGAGCGTTTAGCTCCAGGAAAATTTAGATTAAACTGCATTTTTATACACTCTTTATTGTTTACTGAGGCTTGTTTGCATTTAGCACTCTCTCATGGGTAGTTGTATTCTCCAGAATTTAAAAAGTAGTAGCATTTTTATTGTGTTATTTTTTCTCTTTCCAACCAGAATGGACATTTTTTCCATATTAAAGGAGCTTGAACAGCTTTACCAGAATAATTCCTTTGTATGTGTTCACGTTTAGAAAGTGATGCTGCTTTTTTGGTCCGTCTTCACAGGCACTAGCTGTGTTGTAACCGCTTGTAAATACAGCACGGAGCTTGTGATACACCAGACCCCAGAAATTGTACTGATTGTATCAGACCAATATCAGGTGTAACCAGGATCAGGAAAGTGTCTGAAGAACTTCAAACTGGAAAATTTTCAAATTTCTGTTTTCCAGGTACGGATTTTCAGTGCAACCCCTGGCAAAGACTTCTCTGTGGACCCAGTTTAGGACCCTGCCTAAGCCTCTGGGACCACGGGCAGCAGGTCTGGGATTTGCAGAAAAGGGGAACTGGGCTGCATCTCCCATCCACGAAAACTGTACGTACTCCATTCCTTGCCATGTGGCCGCGCACCAAGGGGCCGAAAGAGGCCCTGTATCACCGGGCTGTATTGCCAGAATCTTGTTTCTGATGGGAAATACATGAGGTTGCTACAACGGGGAGTTAAGAAATTGGGAGAGCTTCAGCTGGAAGAAAGTGGGCTTTGAGTAGTCATGAGGAAGGCACTGGTAGCTCTGAGTTGTCAGCAACTAGTTTTTAATTTTGCAAATGTCTCAGTTTTGTGGAAACAATATAACATGAGATTGCTTTGCTTTTAAATTCGGTCAAATACAGTCATTTAAGCACCTCTCTTGCTGTAGGTACTTCAGATTATTTCCTCTGCATGTGTGTAACAAACAACAAGGACTGGAATATTAACGCTAGCTTTCCAAAGCGCTTTAGAAGGGCCTTTTTGTCTGTAATGTGCTAGCCAGTCTTTCCTCGTTGTCTTAGGAGTTCCAGATCATAGTTTTGAAGATTTTTTTTTTTTTAAGTTGTCAGTTTATACAACAAAACTTTATTCTCTCTGTATTCATGCAGAGTAGCCCTCTCTCATAAAAAAAAAATAAATTCCACTGACAGAAAGACAGTAGGAGCTGCTCAAGAGGTATCAGGTTTTTTCTCTGTGGACATTCTGGTTCAACTGAGAGATCAATAAAGTACTTGCAACTTTGTTAAGTTTTGAACCACTGAATCATTTGCAGACGTGGGTATTTGAAGGTGTTACAGACATACTTTCTCAGTGATGGATAGCTTTATGAAACAAAGCTAATAGGACAAAGACATTGCTGCAGTAAAGGCAGTGTGTCGCCTGAAGTTCTCCACCTTTATTTCACTTCCATTTGACAAAGAAATAAGTGTTAGGCGCTTGTATACATTTATCCTCCAATCCCTGTTACCAGTTTCCTTCAGAGCTTATTTCTTACAGACTTCTGCTTCATCAGCTTTGCTCAATCTGCCCATCAGGGTATAATCTTCATAGTTCAAGAGGTGGGTTCGTAATAACTTGTATTAAAGATGCTGTAATTTGAATTAATTAAATGTGTTCAACAGCCTCCTACTTGGCTCTTCAGTCAGCTGGTGGGTAACCTGTTAATTATAAAAAAGTTAAAATCATTTGGCCATCTCAGTGTATACTACTTGGTTTTCTACGGGTGAAGAGACCTTGCTTCCACTTGTAGGGCAGCTTCTGTCGAACAGAGTTAATGGTTTGGCATTGAACAATTTGGCTCTGTCAAGAAGCTGATGGCCACTGAGATGTACCTGCGGTCTCTTGGCATTGGTCACCTCTCCTACGAGGCCAGGCTGAGAGAGTTGGGGTTGTTCAGCCCAGGGAAGAGAAGGCTGCGTGGAGACCTTATTGCAACCTTCCAATACTTAAAGGGGGCCTACAGGAAAGATGGGGAGAATCTTTTTAACAAGGCCTGTTGTGACAGGACAAGGAATAACGGATTTAAACTAAAGAAGAATAGATTTAGACTGGATATAAGGAAGAAATTCCTTACAATGCGGGTGGTGAGGCAGTGGCACAGGTTGCCCAGAGGCGGTGGAGGCCCCATCCCCGGGAACATCCCAGGCCAGGCTGGACGGGGCTCTGAGCACCCTGGGCTGGTTAAAGCTGTCCCTGGCACTGCAGGGGCTGGGCTGGGTGGGCTCTGAAGGGCCCTTCCCACCCAAAGCATTCTGTGATTCACGTCTGTTGTGACTCGTAACTCTTTGTATCATAACATTTTGTTTGACACCAATTATTTGAGAATGTACGCTTTCTCACTTGTAAACTTCATGCATTAGGGACAATCAAAACCATACTGTCCATTCTTCAATGGGGCAACAAATGATAACATTTATAATTCATGTTTTCTTGGATTTAAGGCAATGCCTATTATCTTTTGTGAAGAAATGTTATTGGGAAATCCTATTTAATTAAATTTCTATTTAATTAAATTGCATTTAGCATCTATTCCTCTTCTCCCATCCCTACCCAGTAACTAATTATGTGAAGCAAAGTAGTAAAAGACCTGTGGATTGAGGTTAGGAAAATGCTAAAGCATCTTCTTCGCTAATTTTTCTTTTGCCTCATGATCTGAAAGCATGAAATACAGTATTGCACTGATCTAACATCCTTATTTTCATCTCATAAATTAACTTGGCTATAACTTCATGAAAATTTGTTTGAAATTCTCCTAAATGCAGCTCTTAAAAGTTGAAAGCTCAGTGTTTGAATCTCTTTCTGTTGTGATTTAAATATGAACATGTTCTGAATATTTAGTTTTGCTTTTAGACAGATCCTTTCAGCACCAAAAGTGTAGTTTGGTTAAGTATTGCATATAAAAGGAAAGGCTTTATTGGAGCAGTTGGTTGGAAATTAATACCTGCCTGCATGCTAATTAGGTTTCAGTCTTTCTGGTGGCCAGCTAGTGTGGTATTTTTTGTTAGTCTGTTTGAACCATTGAAAGGTTCCTGATAATTCTTGATGCAAAGTGTGTCTTTGATTTTTGCCTGAATTTTCCCCACTCTGGATTACACAGGAGGTGAATATAGGTACGGAAATACCCTACTGGATTTTGTATAACCTTAAAGCATGTCCTGTTTATAACAAGTCCACTTTTACCTTCCAGTGAACTTGAAACTTCCATAGCATTAATTTAATATCTTTAATTTGAATGAAGATGATAATCTCTTGGCAACAATTAGTCCTGA